GATCAGCTACGTGTTTCAGGAGAAGGAACACTCGCAGCTTTCCCTTGGAACCAGGAGAAATGATGCACTGTAGTCGCACTTAAATATCCAGTTTGGGGGGGGCGGTAACGTCTTTAGTCTTTAACCCAACTTTTCCTAAAATCCCCTCAAGAAAATGTGATTCCTCGGAGAAGTTATTCCATGGATGGCCTGAAGATGTCGCTGGAGACAGTACCATCCACACAGCACCTGTCTGGGCATCTGGATTCTGCCCTTGATGAAGGGAAATTCCACAGTGGCTGCCTCCTCACATCTCCTTCTTCCACGCTCCTGACCTTTATGTAGCCTCCTCTTTCTCCTGTGAATCCTTGTCCTTCCCAGTACCTCCCTGTCCTGATGCTCTGGCCCCACTTGGGCGTGGATCTGAGTCCTTCAAGGCAGCAGAGCCAAAGCTGTGACTGGGTCATAGGTAGGCTTCTCCATTCTCTTCCCATTGCCATGTTCATATAGATTATTTACCAAGACCTATAGCCATGGTGTCACCCTCCCCCCCATCCACCCCAGCTACAGTCCCCTTGCCTCCTGGGTTTCAATCAGTGAGTGTCAGGGCAATCCCTGTTCCCCGCCTCCCGTGCTCTTTAACTTTTCTAAATTGGCCCAATTTTCAAATATTAACACTTAAAGACTTGATGCATTAATCTACCTTGCTTTCTGAAAATATTAGTGTGCTTTGCAAAATTATCCTTAAACTTTAGCCTACAATCAGCCCTAGGATATAGGAAATGATGAGCATTAGTGAGCCAAGCTGAATGACTTATCCAGAGGGAATATGTCCCAGTCATGGGACTAGACTCTGATAGCAGAGATCTGGAATAAAGGAAAAAACATTCAAGGCCAATTTTCCTCCTTCTCCCTGCTCACAGTTTCTGCTTGTGACCCTTCTTACTCTGTCTCTTATTTGCTTTCAGTATTTAAGAATCAGCCTAAATATAACTTTTAGAACCCATATTTTTATAGGTATCCCCCAAGAACAGCCTCAAAGATAAGCTTCCGAGACTCATCTCAATTTCTAAAAGTTAGCCACATGATCTCGGGCTCCCCTCCAGAGGAGAAAGGCTCTAAAAGGAGGTTTGAGAAAGACATTATCTTATGATGACAAGAACCTTGATGGATCAAGTTTCCTAAATCTTTACTTACAATCTGAAGCACATCTTTTTAACAACTATGGTTCTGTTTACTTTTGTCCTAAACCATTCCCAAGACCTTAGACCATGGGGTGGAGTGCACATATAGTTTCTGGTGGTAGATTTTAACTCTGATACTGAGAGGTATCATGAGCCCCACACCTGATTCTGGTGCCCAGGAACAGGGACGTCCTATTATTCATGCCTCAGACTCTGCAAAGTACCCAGGCTTTTCTGCGGCACTTGCCCTAGTGCTGAGTGTCCTCATACCCTGACTAAACTCAGAATGAACGGACACCCTAGACAAGACAGCAAATAGCCTGGCAATGCAGAGGAGGCCACGTGCTATGAAGCCTCCACCCCCCACCCCAACGCAAACAACCCTACACACCTATAGACACGTTGCTTGATTACAGCCAACAAACAGTGGAAAGGGAGAGCCAGGAATTCTAGCCAGAGTGACACGTGCAGCCCTCCCCCATCAGAGAAGATTACCCAATAGGCAGCCTTGGCACGTGGTTGGGACACCAGAAGAGCAGGAACACCTCAGCAAGGTGCTTATTAAAAGGAGTTTAAAACAAATGTAAATAAGTAAGTAACCTAAACAGTCTTTGTGAGAAAAGTCAGAATTTCCTTCAATCGATTATACTTTTTACAGTGCAATGTTTAAAAGTTCTTTGGGGGAGAGAGGACTCTTTATTTTTTTTTTAAGATTTTATTTATTTGACAGACAGAGATCACAAATAGGCAGAGAGACAGGCAGAGAGAGAGAGGAAGCAGGCTCCAGACTGAGCAGAGAGCCCGATGTGGGGCTCCATCCCAGGACCCTGGGATCATGACCTGAGGTGAAGGCAGAGGCTTTAACTCACTGAGCCACCCAGGCGCCCAGTGTTAACTTTCTTTTGTCTTTTGCATTTTAAAAAACCCAAATTACTTTAAAAATGAGTTATCTAAGGTTTTAACATCCTTCTGTTGTCGGGAGAACTCTAAATGTCCAAGAGTCCTTAAAGTTCTTTCTAAACCAATCATCAGTTTCGCTGTCTTCTTTTGCCCCATCTGCTCATGTTTTCTGACTTCCAAGTATGTTGTTGATCGACAAGATGTAATGTTTATTGATTTAAACCACATAGAGCTCTATATGATGGGGAGAAAACATGTTGGGTCACATTCGAAACGATCTCCTAGGTTGCAGAAAATCATAAGGTACCCTCTTGGGAATCCCCATGACAGGGACAGGTCATCAAGGCTCAGCACCTCCCAAAATTATCAAAAGCATGACAAATCAGGGAGCGCCTTGGCCTGACTCTTACCACTAGGTGGCACAGTACACAATCAGGAATAAAAACTATGGGTCTTGAACACCATCAGGAAGGTAAAGCACTAAAAGGAGGTGCAAGGAAGCTATTGAGACTTTTTCTTTTTTATGCATGATTTTCTTTCTTAATAATCATTTTTAAACCTTCAGCTAAAAATCATCTTCTAAGCTATATAAGTGGGGCACTGAGAGCTCAACTTTCCTTTTTTTTTTTTTTTTTTTTTTTTACAGAGATGAATATTGCCTGATAGGGGAACACCAATCAACCCTCTATTTCACCTAATGATTGGAGTAGAAAACATTTTGAGCATCTTCTTCACATTACTATGCATTTGGTCTCATTTCTTTTATTTATTTATTTTTCAAAGATTTTATTTATTTGACAGACAAAATCACAAGTAGGCAGAGAGGCAACCAGCGAGAGAGAGGGAAGCAGGCTCGCTGCTGAGCAGAGAGCCCAATGCGGGGCTTGATCCCAGGACCCTGGGATCATGACCTGAGCCAAAGGCAGAGGCTTAACCCACTGAGCCACCCAGGCGTCCCATTTGGTCTCATTTCTACATGGAGTTTTCAAAAGTGTAAATACTACAACTGCTTTGGCCCCATGATTAATATGTTGGGATAGAAATTAGATAAACTGTCACAGGGTGCCGAGGTAAATTTCTCTGCATTTCAGTTCCTTTTTGGGAAAATAGGAATATTACCTATCTTACAAGAGGAGTTCTAAGAATGAACAATGTATTGCAAAAAGTGTTGGGAGTCCTTCCAAAAACTTACACTACTTCCAAGAGACACAGTCACCCGTAAGCAGCTATCTATCTGTTTGTGGACAAGCAATACAATTTTTAAGCAGGAAAAAAAACCTTAAATGACATTGATCGAATCTTATGATAAGAGCAGGTAGACCACAGCAAAGTTAACTGATCTCCCCAATTAATATGCAGTTAATTAGAGGTGGAGTCAGAAGGGAGATCTCCTTTGTATAGCCACTGCTCTATCCTGCTTCCATAAGGGTTTTTGTATATCATGTGCCTGCAGAGACAATGGAGTCTGTCCTTGGAAAGTTTTCATTATAAACATGTGATCACTATGACCCTGAAGGTTTTAGGTCTTGATTTTAGGGCTTTTTTCCCCTATTTTTTTCCTCACTCCCCCCTGACCCAGGTTCCCTACATTCAGATAGAGGATTGGAGAGAGAAGAGATGAGCAAAGGGCTGGTTAGTACACAGCCAGTCAAGTTAAAGATGAATGCAATACAATCACCAGAACTTTCTGCATAACTATAGAGGCTCCTGGCGCTCATCCCTAAAAACTCTGACCCAATTGCTTTATTTTGCCTGGACCAGTTCTAGAAGTAGATAAATTCAGTTAGAGGCTTGCAGGCTAGAAGGGGGTGGAGTGGGAACATAAATTCTATTTCTGCAGGTGAAACCAGAGGATGGGGAGCCTGGATATGTCCAACTCCTGCCCTCCCCAGGGCAGGAGAGCAAGGAGCTAGCAAGGGGGGTAATCTGGTAATCTCCTGTAGCAGGTTTAGCAACTACTTTCTTAGCCATCCTTAAGCGCCCAATCTTGGGTAAGGCACTGCTCACCCTATTCTTCAGCCTCTTCCAAATGCTTCTGGAAAGTCACCCAGCTGGGCACCCAGAAGTAAGCTGAGGATCCATCCTTTGCAGCAGCACAGTGCAAATCAAGGACCATGACCTCGATAATTCTTTTGTTCACCCAGAGTCGCTAGCTACAACTTCTACTACAAAGATCAACACTTTGCTTTACTTGAAAAAAATTATGGTGATGTTCAGCATTTTGCCTGAATACAGGGCAGAGTGTTAGCCCCTCCTCCAGTCACCAGGACTGTTAATCCCGAGGAAATGATTGAGGGTTCTCCAACCATTGGTCTCTTAATGCCAAAGCATTCACATTCACAATTTCTACGAGGGGGGGGTGCTGGGGAGGGCTAAGTGTCCCTGCGCTGCAGAGCCTGGCATTGGCAGGAAGGCAGAGGCAGCCTGCAACCTTCTAACCCACCAGGGCGTCCTTCCCCGCAGCGAGAAGTGTGGGGAAGCAAATCCCGACGTCCAGCCATCATTTCCACTCGAGTTTTCAAAAAGATCAAGAATCGGAAAGGACCGGCGGGTCGGCAAACCCCACGGAGGAACTGCACAACAGGTCTGCGTTCACTGGGATCTCAGCAGTCCATGACCCCAAATCGAATCGATCTTGGGAAACCCCAGGGAAAGAAGGCTTCTTGCAGAGGGACGGGATTACTGACTGCAAACAGCAGGGAAGTACCGGGGTAGGGGACCTTAGTCGGGAGGACTTTCCAGCCACTCAGCGTTCATCAAAAAAGTTCCCTGTACATGACCCCAGTGGCTCATCGCAGGGAGTTTCTCTGATGAACCCGGCTCAGGGTTTAGGCTTCTCCCCCCGCCCCCACCCCCGTCTCCCTCCCGAGCAGAGGACGAGGCCAGTTCTCTTTTCTGGTCTGACTGGCTTGGAAATTCCCCGCGCCTGACCCCGCCCCGGAGAAATCCCCTGCCAGCGTTTATAGGGCGCCGCGGCGGCGCTGGCGAGCCCACAAGAGTCGCAGCCAGCGGTCCTCCCCTCCGTGACACGAAGAGGCAGCGAGCGCGCAGCCCGCGGCCGAGCGCACCTGGGCAGCAGCGCCACAGCTTCCCCCGCGCCATGTTTCAGCCCGCCGAGCACAACCAGGACTGGGCCATGGAGGGTCCCCGGGACGCGCTCAAGAAGGAGCGCCTGCTGGACGACCGCCACGACAGCGGCCTGGACTCCATGAAGGACGAGGAGTACGAGCAGTTGGTGAAGGAATTGAAGGAGATCCGCCTCGAGCCGCAGGAGGCGCCGCGCGGCGCCGAGCCCTGGAAGCAGCAGCTCACCGAGGACGGAGACTCGTAAGTGCCGCGGGGCCGGGTGGGGACGCCGGGCCTGCAGCGCGAGGCGCGCGAGGCGGCCGCAGACCGGGGTTTATGCTTCGCCGCCCCCATCTCCCGGAGGCCGTGCAAAGCAGAGGGATGCGCGTAGGGGCCGGGGGATGGGAAATGAGGGTCGGATCCCGGGGCTGCGGTGCAGCAGCTCTGCCTTGCAGACGCGCATGCCTTCCCCTCCCCCCGGGCCCGGGCGCGGGCCCGGTCTTCTCGGCGCTCGGCGGGGGCGGGGCGGCGGCGGGGACGCGAAGTCCCCTCTTGCATAAGGGAGAGTCGGGGGGCGGGGGGAGGGTAGGCTGGAGTTTCTGCCCCGCTGGCGGGCGCCTCGCGGCCGGGAGGGGAAGTACAGGGCGTTCCGGCCCGGCGGGAGGGCGGGGCGGTCTGACCGGCGCCCGCCGAGAAGGGTGGTGGGGGGGGCGCCCGGAAAGTCCCTGGGCGCCTGCCAGGAACACTCAGCTCATAATAACCTCGCGGAAAACACCGAGGCCTCGGCCTCCAGAAACCCCGGCCTTGCGCAATCCCCCGCAGCCCGCGCCTCGCTGGGCCCCACGCAATGCACTCACCAGCCCTGGGGGTTTTTCCCTCTGTTCCCCTTAGGTTCCTGCACTTGGCCATCATCCATGAAGAGAAGGCACTGACCATGGAAGTGATCCGCCAAGTGAAGGGCGACCTGGCCTTTCTCAACTTCCAGAACAACCTGCAGCAGGTGCGCCGGCCTGCCCAGCCCCGTGCCTCTGACCCAGTAATAAAGCTGGATCTAGCACAGCAGCTCCCAGTCTTTCGTCAATTAACAATCACTGGTCATTATCTTCCCAGACCTTTTATGCAAGGTCCTAGAGAGGAAAGAAAATTCCATTCATTGATTTGGTGAGGCCTTTATGAAAGCCCACCTGGAGCCTCTGGGATTTGTATTGCCCCTTAGACCTGTTGGGGAGGAGCAACAGTCAAAGACCAGGAGATCTCTGGGGTTCAAGGGAAGACAGACTCCGAGTTTGGGCCATGGCTTATTCTCTTTCTGTTCCCTCTTCTGTTTGTAGACTCCACTCCACTTGGCCGTGATCACCAACCAACCAGAAATTGCTGAGGCACTTCTGGAAGCTGGCTGTGATCCTGAGTTCCGAGACTTTCGAGGAAATACCCCCCTACACCTTGCCTGTGAGCAAGGCTGCCTGGCCAGTGTGGGAGTCCTGACTCAGACCTGCAGGACCCAGCACCTCTCCTCCATCCTCCAGGCCACTAACTACAATGGTACGTCTGCCTGCCCTACCCTGCCCATCAGAAGGCAGATGACTTGGAGAAGGGGGAGGTGGGCCAACTTTAGGAATCCAGGCAAGAGCAGAAACTCTCAACACCGGAAAGGATGAGAAAATACATGTAAAAGGCCTGTTTGATGCCTTAATAAAGTCCATTCAGGGCCCAGATTCTGGGTTCTCCAAAATCAGAAGTATTTGCCCCCTACCAGAATAGGTGGAAAGCTGTGCTTGAGATCTGAGGGTTGAAACAAGTGGTTATACTTTTTTCATCATTCTTCTAGGGCACACGTGTCTACATTTAGCCTCTATCCGTGGCTACTTGGGCATTGTGGAACTTCTGGTGTCTCTGGGTGCTGACGTCAATGCTCAGGTGAGTACTTCATGTCTCCAGATGGAGTGCCTCAGGGCTGCAAGGCCCTCCACAGTAAGACCTCACGTGCTCTTGTTGCAAGCAGAGATTCCAAACTCAGCCATAAACCTCTCCAATTCCTTTGGGTTTCAGGAGCCCTGCAATGGCCGAACCGCCCTCCATCTCGCCGTGGACCTGCAGAATTCTGATCTCGTGTCACTCTTGTTGAAGTGTGGGGCTGATGTCAACAGAGTTACCTACCAGGGCTACTCCCCATACCAGCTCACCTGGGGCCGCCCAAGCACGCGGATACAGCAGCAGCTGGGCCAGCTGACCCTAGAAAACCTTCAGATGTTGCCAGAGAGCGAGGATGAGGAGAGCTACGACACGGAGTCAGAGTTCACGGAGGACGAGGTGAGTCGCAACTTTGTCGCTCTGCACAAAGCAGGACCCTGTATCCGAAAGGCTCAACTTAATGAAGTTCTCACACTTTAGTGTGAGTGACCAGTAGTACCCCCCAAAGTGTGTCTTCATTTTTTGCCCTTTTTAAAGGAGAGGAGCATTAAAGAGAAGCTCCCTCAGCCCCTGAAGTTAATTTATATCCCAGTTTTGGAGAATGGCATCCAAGAATACTTGAGTTATTTCGAGGAACAGCCCTCACCATTATTCCAGCACCTTTGGCAAAGTTCTGGAAGTTTAACGTGCCTTTTTCTTTCTCTTGTTCTTAGCTGCCCTATGATGACTGTGTGCTTGGAGGCCAGCGCCTGACGTTATGAGCTTAGAAGAGTAAAAGGACATGGACTTGTATATTTGTACAAAAAGAGAGTTTTATTTTTCTAAAAAAAAAAAAAGAAAAAAAGAAAAAAAATTAAAAGAGGGTACTTAAAACCACACTTCACGCTCCCTGGCCTGAAACATTCACTATGGTGGATCTGCCCTCATTTTGTTATTTTGGTGAACTTTAGAAGGGAACAAGAAAGATCACTGGAATTCAAAGAAAACCTCATTCAATCCTCACCTTTGTGGGGTTTCTGGAGGAGGTTATGCAACATGTGATGAAAGGACGACATCTTACTGTGCTTTTTGACTGAATCACCAGAGATTCGGTGGCTCAGCCCCGTGTGGGTTGTGTAACGACTGACTAGGTGTAAAGACCAGGTGTGTTGTTAAGCCTTTTGGGGGTGTGGGGTTAAAAGCCACTACTTGTCAAGGTTTGTGTTGCCCTCCTGTAAATGGTGTACATTGTGTATTTTGTTGGTAATTATTTTGGTACTTCTAAGATGTGTATTTATTAAACAGATTTTTACAAACAGAATTCTCCTGATCATTCTCTTTGGGCTGCTGAGGGGCTCCCAAGCTGAGAGTCATCCCATCCTAAGAATGGGGGAGGTGGAGAGCTGTGTGGGAGCACTTACCACAAGCAGCCACAAAGCCCTCTCAGAGAGTAGCTTCTCACAACTGTGTACACCAGAGTCCCTGCCAGGCATTGCAGGCAGCCCCCTGGGCCCAGTGCGTGGGAGGGGAGGCTGTTGCAAGATGATAGGAAACACCATTCTTAGGCTGGGGTGGGGGTGGCACTCTCTGCTTGGCCCGTAGCTGGAAGCCTCCACTGCCATTTGCTTTGAGCTTGCTTTAAGCTATGCCAGGACCCTTCCACTTTAGGAATCATTTTGGTCAACAGAAATCTGCTGAAATCCTATTTTCTATTATAGGAAAAGTTCTTAACTATAATGCTGGGAGTTCCTGAGGCCTTGGGCTCAGGAATGGGACTGCATGCACTAACATTTATTAGCAGCTGCCCCCTCTGAGCCTTCATTTCTTCATTTATAAACTGGGCTGTTAAGGTTGCACAAGACAACGCACGTCTGAAGCATATAGTGCCAGGCACATGGTGCTAAAGAGAAAGGCAAACGATTGCACAACATCCTGTATTTCACAGGGGAAGAAACAAGTCCAGAGAGAATGTCCCGTCTGGGTCACCTTGTAGAAGGGGCAGGTGGTGAGCTTCCAACTCTTGTTTCCAGATTTGGTTAACATCTTTTCATTGCATTCCACTTCTAAATCAACCTATTGTTACAAAGTAGTAGGAACGATATGAAAGGCTTGAAAAGTCTTTCCCCAGCTCAATCTGTCTGCTACTTCTACTGAATAATTCTACAAGAAGTCCAGATCTTGTGGAATTTAAGTGCTCCATATGGATGTTTTCATCCCTAAAATACATTGCTTGCCAAGGTAGAAAGAGGGGTAAAGGAAAGTTCATGGCGTTCTATAAAATACAGAATGGCATAGAAATGCAATCCCTATACTCTGGCTCACAACTAAGAAAACATGGCCGTTACCTTGTCCCTTTCCGGATCCGTAAATGCTGTGGAAGTAAAGTGAATGTGATGCTCAGCTTCCTCTCAGACCAAAAAGGAGCCAGTACTTAGGGGGTCTTTCAATATATAAAGCGTATTACTGTCAAATGGACTGACGGGTCAAAGCCAGCCCTGTCGTCCTCCTGCAGCCTCAGTTATCTGGAGCTAAGTACTGTGGTGGCCTCTTTACCAGCCTTGTCTTCTCTCAGAGTGCTCCAGGCACATCACAAATTCCTTGTGCGTCCCAGAGCACATGAACACAAGTGCTATGTGATCTCACACAGGAATGTTAACTAGGTTTGGCTCCGTCAGCTGCTGAGTAGAAGAGGTAGGTAAGAGGGGTGAAGTGGGGAGGAATATTCACCTCATATCCAAAAGAACACAGGTTGGAAACTTGGCTTCGAAATTTGGAATGATGCCCTGAGCACTTCTCTGTCATGTGTGCCTCTATTTCCCCCTGTAATGGTACTGGATTTATGCCAAGTTGCTCCTGACCCTTACTCCAGCTCTGTGAGAAGTTTGGAGAAATGGGACAAAGGGATGTGGCCCACTGTTCCTCTGTCTCCTTGGTGACTGACTTTGGTGTAGAGTGACGCCTTCCTTGGTCATGGCAGGGAGGGGCCTCTTCTGACTCATTTGGACCCAGCCTCAGCTTTTCTGCTCATCAGGACCCCAACCCTCAGGGTGGATTCCATTGTCTGCATAAATCTCAAGGTCACTGGGCCCAGTTTCTTATTCTCAGGACCTTCATCCTTTTTCTCTACCTCCTTTCTTTCTCTTCTTTTCATTTGAAACCTTCCTTTCCTTCATGCCATTGGTTGGGTGGCTGGAGCTTGGAGTTCCCTAAAAGAAAAACTGCAGAAAGAAACATTGTAATCTGCAGAGTCTTAGGCAAATTTCTTTCTTTCTTCCTTCCTTTCTTTCTCTCTTTCTTTCTTTCTTTCTTTCTTTTTAAAGATTTTATTTATTTATTTGACAGACAGAGATCACAAGTAGGCAGAGAGGCAGGCGGGGGTGGGGGGTGGGGAGCAGGCTCCCTGCTGACCAGAGAGCCTGATGTGGGGCTTGATCCCAGAACCATGGGATCATGACCTGAGCTGAAGGCAGAGGCTTTAACCCTCTGAGCCACCCAGGCGCCCCTTTCGGCAAATTTCTAAGCAAACAAGAACAAAAGTTTTCAAAGAAAACAATGTGGCAGGCTGAGAGCCTTTACTGCTCTCTGATTTTCCCCAAGAAGCCAAAGGTCCTGTCAGGACAGGTAGAAGTCAGGGTGCCTTGGGAAAGAGGGAAGTGACAGAACGAGGGAAATAAAGAGTCACATCAGCAACTTCCTTGAATTTAGTTCCTTGATTCCTTGTGCCTGCCTCATCCTCAGGACAAATTTCCTTTATAGGTCATATGTACCCAGTCCCTCCCAGAAGGAAGGGTTTTTCTTTAAAGAGGGAATAAATTCCAGTGTGAGCAATTGGAAAGCCTTCATGTGGGGCCTGGAAGTGTAGGGGGAGGTTGGGTGCGGGGCGGGGGTCGGGGGCGTGGGGGGGTGGCATTTGCATTGAAACTTCAATAGCTACTGGAAGTGATGAAGAGCTGACGGTGAGAACTGAGTCAGTGAGATGGGTTCCTCTTTCGCCCCCCTTCCTCCCTATTTTCATCAGCTTGCCTTGGGTGCTGTTGAAGTTTCATTTGGCAAGAAAAGTCAGAGTGGAACTCCAGTCAGAAACATGCCCAAGAAGCATTCCCCAACCCTGGTACTTGGACAAGAATGTCCCAGGCTGGTTCCCCATTTTAAGGGAGCATTACAGAAAGTTAAACCAGATCCCCCGTGTGTTTCCCTCCTGGAGAAGTGGAACTCTCAGACTCATTCATTCGCATTATGAAGCACTACGATTCCCCAGGGCCCGTGCCAGGGACCAGACCCCCAAGAGGAACCAGCCACAGCCTCTGCCTCAAAGACCTCCTTGCTAAAGTCAGGAAGGGAACCAAACAAGCACACGTAAGACCAGAGGGTAAGATGAAGTACAGAGTGTGATGGGAGCTCAGGTCAGGGGCCCCCAACGCTGAGTGGACTGAGATAAGATGAGTCTGAACTTCGTCACTCTGCACAGAGCAGTACCCTCCCAGGTCCCTAGAGCTACTTACACCTCTCCTCTTTTTTAGAGAGAGAGAGAGAGAGCATGAGCAGGGGGAGGGGCAAAGGGAGAGGGAGAAACAGACTCTCTGGTGAGCAGGGAGCCCAATGCAGGACTCTATCCCAGGACCCTGGGATCATGACCCAAGCCGAAGGCAGACACTCAACCGTCTGAGCCACCCAGAGCTCCTCTTTGTAAGAGATTACGCCCTTGCTGGCTATTTTCTTCCCCAGACCAGCACTATCTATGCTTCCCAAGTGACCCATGGCATCCTCTTGACAAGCGGCAGGAAGCAAAGCTGTACTCAGAACTTAGGAGATGAGATAGACTATTCATTTTTGCATCTGCATGTGATCTTGGATTCCAGAGCTGAGCCTAGAAATTTCCAGCAGCCTTCGAATTGATGGCAGATGATGTGCAGAGCTGAGGCCAGAGCTTCTCCAGCCCAGTGTGCACTCCAACGGCCTGGAGATGATGTGATGATGTGAAAATGCAGGTTCTGATTTAGCTGGCCCACAGCTGGCCTGACACTTGCATTTCTAGTAAGTTCCTAGACAAGGACTGGACTGCTGGTCCAGGGACCACATTTTGAAGAGCATTTTGAATAACATTTTGAGTAAAATGCTATTTTATTTTTTTTTAAGATTTTTAAAAAAGATTTTATTTATTTATTTGACAGAGATCACAAGTAGGCAGAGAAGCAGGCAGAGAGAGAGGGGGAAGCAGTCTCCCCGCCAAGCAGAGAGCCCAATGTGGGGCTTGATCCCAGAACCCCGGGATCATGACCTGAGCTGAAGGCAGAGGCGTTAACCCGCTGAGCCACGCAGGTGCCCCTAAAATGCTATTTTATACATTTACGTTCAATGCTTGATGGTGCACACCCCTCCCACCCCACGAGGACGAAGCGCTTCTGCAGCCACATATATGAGGACGATCCCGCATCAGGCAACACAAGTCTTCTGGAGAGTAGGGCAGGGTCCTGAGCCCTGTTGGCCGAGGCCAAGACATCTGCCATCAAAACAAGTAAGTGTAATAAGGAAGGAGTCCGGCACAATACAAGGTCAAAGTTGTCATTAGTTGAAGTCTAAGAAAGGAATAAAAACTTATGAAGGAAATACACTTGAAGGCTGATTTGCTAATTAAAAAGTTGACAAGTTGGTTTTTAAAATGAAGTTTCTGTGCTTTTGCATGGGGTTGGCATGGTGTGTGGGAGGGGCCCTGACCAGGCCTCAACCAAGAAGGAGGGGAGAGAGAGCTGCTTCCCTATGACAAAGTTCCCACTGTCCCTATCAGTATAAGAGAAGCCTTCACCAGCCGCTGACGAAGCTATACCGAGGAAAAACTTAAGCAAAGAATAACTTCCCTTAAATGTTGCCATTGTTTCATATTTCCTAATTTTAAAAATTTATTGAATCTGTACAAAGCAGTAGTCATCAAAACAGTGTGGTACTGGCATAAAGACAGACACAGAGATCAACAGAACAGAACAGAGAACCCAGAAATAAACCCACAATTATATAGTCAATTAATCTTCAACAAGGAGGCAAGAATATGCAATGGGAAAAGGACAGTCTCTTGAACTAATGGGGTTGGGAAAACTGGACAGCCACATGCAAAAGAGTAAAACTGGACTGGACCACTTTCTTACAACAAACAGAAAAAGAAACTCAAAATGGATTGAAGACCTAAATGTGAGACCTGAAACCATCAAAATCCTAGAAGAGAACACAGGCAGTAATTTCTCTGACATTGACCACAATAACATCTTTCTAGATATGTCTCCTGAGGCAAGGGAAACAAAAGAAAAAAGCAACTATTGGGACTAT